TTTTCAATGTTTCTAGTTGAATTGTTCATCTATGTTGTATATAATTCATTATTGTACATAATTAAGTTACAATAAAATTTGTATTTTATATGAATACTACCTTATAGATTCGCGTCTTTAAATCGAAATCGGTCTGGACAACCCTTATCTTGGTATGAACATAAAATCATAAATCTAACGACAATAAAACCGTGAATATTTTCAAGCATTAAAACACCGGATAATTATTAGATTGTTTTTTTTTTAAAAAAAAAAAAAACTTTTCGGAAATTATTCGGCAGTAAATATAATTATTTTTAAATTTAGAAAATAAATTTGAAGAAATATCTTTAGATTTGTCACGCAAGCGTACATACATGTACAGTTTAAATTAAATTAAAATGGTCATTTGTATCGCGAGGGTTAATTCAAGTTTCTGTTTGGCAACACATTCCCTTCGTAACAGGGAAAGTATAAGTCGGCCCTTTGAAGTCATTTTATGATTCTTCCTGTATTTAAACTGAATATATTTTCCGATAAATCTCGTAGTTTGAATGGACAAACAATTTTGAGTTGAAATTTGGTCACCTGGCTATCAAGGAAGAGACGGGTAACAAACTAATTTCTGGAAAAATAACTAAGAAAAACTATGTTACAAATCTCCAAAATATAGCAATAACTTTATCAGTTTGACAGCAGTAGTCATATTCAAAGCCATGTGATTAAAAATCAATCGACAAAGTTTGGGATGCTTCTGAAGATAATGATAATGAATGTAGCGTCAAGATATCTGTTCAAATAATTCATAGAATGATAATGTCAGAATATCAAAGAGCAAAACACCAGCTAATAACCGATTTACCATAAAAATGTTTTATCACAAGGAAATTTTTCGTTTGCCGCAAATCGTTGACTTTCAAAATTAATTAACTCCTAAACGCCAGGAGAATTTGCACGAACGTGCATGCTAAATGAGATCGAGAAAATGTATTTTTATGGGTGTTTTTTTTTTTATAATTATTAGGTTGGTGCAAAAATAATGACGTTAGAATGTCGTTTTTTGACGTTAAAAAATACGTCAAAAAACGACATTATTACGTCATTATTTTTGCACCAACCTAATTACTTAGATCATAAAAATGATTTAGATTATAAAAATAAAAATATTTTTTATTCTTAAGTAGAACGAATTGAGATCAAATATGTATCAAATATAGGTTAAAATCCGACAAAAGAATACAATAAGGAACAATTAGGAAATCTTTATAATTATATTAAATCGATTTAATAAATGCCAACTTAATTAAAAAAGAACATACATTTATTACGTAGAAAATATTTAGAAGGAATCCTGATAAATATTTTGCTATCAATAAAGACACTTTATTATAGCATCAAAGTTTTATAAAATCCATACTTAAATAATCTGTTTACCTACAATTATAACCGGGGTAACCTAAATTATTTCACTCTCACACAAAACATCCCCAATCAACATACGGACACTACCAGACATAGATAAAAAAAAAATGCCCACTAAACGCACACACATTATCAACTAAATCCTGCATACACCAACTAGAATTATGATACAAAAATACGAAAGAATTATACACATGAACGCTACTTGACAAAACAAATATACGTGGGGTCTATTTAACCAATGGAAAACAAACTTCATAAAAATAAAAAAAATAAAAAATACAAGAATTTTCTTTTCTTCCCCATATTTCATTTCCTGATGAAGCATAAATAAAAGCGAAACATGTTAAATTTAAAAACGTTTCCTCTTTGTTCCTTATCCTATCAATTATTCAGATTATAAAAATAAAAAATGGGAAGCAAAACAAATGTTAGGTTCCTAAATTCGATATTCTTTGAATCATTCTATACAAAATTGAAGTTTTCACCATTTTTTAGTCTCTTCTGTCTTCAAGTGTGTATACAAATGTAGCGCTCTCTTTGGCAGGCAAATATTCTAAGAAATGACGTAAGATCACGAATCCTAGTCAATGACTTCATGAATCCTAGTAAAGAAGCAACCTCACAAATCCTAGTAAATAAGCGACATCCCGAATCCTAGTAAATAAGTAACCTTACGTATACTAGTAAATAAGTGACCACAAAAATCATAGTAAATCATTCACCTGAGGAATCCAAGTAAATAAGTAACTTCACAATTCCTAGCAAATAAGTGACCAGACAAATCCTAGTAACCTCACGAATCTTAGTAAATAAGTAACCCCATGTGTTGCCAATTAGTCACTTAAGCTAGAATCACAGATGATATCTGTTTAAATTTTTATTTCATTTACAAACATTTCTGTCTCTTAATTCTAATTCAATTTTCTTTTGTTTTGCTGTGCGAATCTGAGATCCAGTGCTTATAAAATAATTTAGATTGTCATATATTTAGATTATAAACATAAAATCTTTTTTTATCTGTCTATATTTCTGAGATTAGATATTGTAATTATTTAGATTATTTACATTGTTTCGACCGTTGTAGGCTTCTGCCTTCTTCAGACGATTGGAATTTCGAACTAGACCCTTTATTTAGTCTCCTGGGGTAGGTTGTTCTCGTTCCACGTATGCTAAGTCGCAAAAATCTCCCAAGCCGGCCAAGCATAGGAACCAGTAGTACGGAGTGCTTGAGAAAAGCAATAACAACAACAAAATTGCTATATGAGCACAGGTAAAAAAAAAAATGATTACGGAGTCATTAAGTTTATAAGTCCCCAAAATTCATAAACTGACGTCCTCAAGGGCACATGACCCGGTGGATAAAAGCGTTGGTTGGATCCAGTGACTTCACCCAGAGTATTTTCGGTTCAATACCTAGCTACTGCAGTGATGAACTTGGAGAGTTGAGTTAAAGAAACATCCGAAAGAGGCATGGTCTGTGGAACTAGAACAGTCTGGTGGACGAAATAAAGGGTTCAGTTTGATATTCCAATTACCGCCTGACGAAGGCCGGAGCGTACAACGGCTGCAATGTCGTGAATGTGGCAATAAAGATGAAGACAACAGACTGAACAATGTAAATAAAATCTTTTTATATCGATTTAGATCATAAAAATAAAGAGAAAAAGGTAATAAAACTAATGTTAGGTTCTTAAATTTAATATTTGTTAAATATATGATATTGTTTGAAGCATTTTACAAACAATGGAGTTCTTTCACCAAGTGGACGCCATGTTCGACTCTTTTTTTTTTTTTCATAGAGAAAATATGCATGCAGGTATTGCAGTCTTTGGCTTGATCTTCCAGCATTATTCAGAGTTAACTACACCAAGAAATAACGTAAGCTCATGAATCTTGGTAATTATTTACTTGCCGCTCCACGCTGGCAGGATGTGACACAATGTTGGTTTAATGTGGCGAACCCGAGCACGTACAACTGGGCCAGATACAAAAATAGCCCAGCCCTCTCAACCGTTGGTTGTGCTGGCATGGTTATTGCTACTGATCCGCCGTCTTTAGTGCAATGGTGGTGGGGCTATTGCCGCGGGCATCTGTTCCTTGAGACCCGGCGACTCTGTGTAATATTTTCAGTTGCGATCTCTCCTCAGAGTCTGAACTGAGTTGCGCGCCAAGATTCTCAACTTCCCCGAGGGAAGTATTAAAGATTTTTCTAATCGTAGCTTAGATGTGGCACAAGGCCGAAATTGTAGAGCACCAACTGAGATTCGAACTCACAACTCAATTGTAATTGACCGAACGAGACAAGCTTGCCAACCACGTCCCATATGCCCAAATCCTGGCAAATTTTAACCTTACTAATCCCAGAGTTGCCAGTTAGTCATTTAGACTCAAATGATCAATGATGATGACCGTATCGTTGAAAAAGTTTAAATCATCAGCTGATCTCCATCCACTAATTCTCAGTGAAGCATCTGTTGATAATACCGTCCGTTTGTTTAAATGCCGAATGTCAAGACATGTTCACCGTCCTGTTATCTCCAAGAGATTGAACTTGTGTATTCTTCGCGAAACGCGACAGACGAGCGCCAGACCTTCTTTATGTAACGCATTAAAATCCCCTCAAAGACTTCAAGACTGTAGAAACTCAAGGGCCTAACTTTAAGACTGGGTGAAGTGTTCCTACACCAGCCAATAAACCAAACGTATGTACATTAATCCAGAGGTAGTTTGTAAATTACTTTGTATAAGGTAATTAATAGATAAGTGAGATTTTTAGCAAATAATTACAATCCACTGGCGTTTAGATAATTATAGATACTTACATAAATTTAAACGTGAGTGATAAGAGAAAGTTGCTAATTACTAATGGTATTGCAGTATATCAGCAAGGAATAGTTCCTTTGTCGTATGCGCGCAGTGTTCGAGTCTCCTTCAAAAGTCAGTTTTGATTGATAAATAACGAGAAAAGTTCTCCCTTGTGGCAGAGAAGGGAGAATGCGCGAATATATAGGGTGATTGAAAAGTAACTTTCTAATTATGTATGATGGAGTCCTGTGTAACTATAATTTTTACAAGACGGGAGAGTCTGTGGAGTTAACTCCCCTTACTTATACTGAAACCGCTACGAGATGATACTCTCTGGACTATAGATACAGTGCGATATTTTTCTCACACTCTTTTTAATTTTTCCGCTTACACGTCAACATGTAAGTCTCTTGTGGAAAACGCGTTTCCCATTGGGAAACGTACGAACATACACAATCACACACTCTCTCTCTATCTCACACACACATACACACGTATGCACATTCATTCACTTCACATCCTTTGAAATTTAAATGTTTTCACATTCTTTTTCCAGACATTATTGTCTTTGTTATTTGTATACCTTTCTTGTTATTACATTATCATTTGTTTGTACATGTATTGGTTCTCGTTGGTACTTTGTATTTTATCATGGCAGACACACATGCAAGTCCTCCATTTTTGTTGTGGGTATTCCAGGAGACACGTGTTTTTCCCAACTCAAACACCCGACGTACTAACGCCCGCAACAAGTCCATCATACATAAAATAGAGAGATACTTTTCCATCACCCTGTAGATGTAAACAGTTCCTATGTATAAAATAGAAACAAAAAGAAATAAAGATAGATACTTATGAACAGAATAAGATAGATAGATAGATAGATAGATAGATAGATAGATAGATAGATAGATAGATATGAACAGAATAAGATAGAGAGATAGATATGAAGAAAATGAAGATAGATAGATAGATAAGATAGATAGATAGATAATAGATAGATAGATAGATAGATTTGCCAAAAGGGTGATATATAGACAGACCTGAATCTGCTAAGATAGATATGAACTGTTTTATATATAGAGAGAGAAACCGGATGATAGTTTTGATTTGATTGATAGATAGATAACATAGATAGATGAATGATATGCAAAAGAATAAGATAGATCGATAGATATGAACAGAATAAGATAGATAGATATGAAGAAAATGATAGATAGATAGATAGATAGATAGATAGATAGATAGATAGATAGATAGATAGATATGAAAAGAGTGATATATAGACAGACCTGAATCTGCTAAGATAGATATGAACTGTTTTATATATATATATATATATATATAGGGAGAGAGAGAGAGAGAAAACCAGATAGATAGATAGATAGATAGATAGATAGATATGAACAGAATAATATAGATGGATGGTTCCTGTACTGCTTCATCTTGCAGAATTCATATTGCAATATTAACGATACTAATGTGATGAGATTGACTGACAATTACGCAGCTGGAATGAAAAGCGAAACAGGGCAAATGAATTCCTGCCGCAGGTAGACAGCAACTGCCTCTGTTATTCACGTCTGCCGTCTTGTTTTTTTTTTTGTTTGTTTTGTTTTCTTTTGTTTCGTTTTTTTTTTTGTTTTTGTTTTGTTTTTTTCCCTTGCGCTTGGAGACTGTCCCCCACCCTTCCCAGCTGCCTCAACTTTCTTCTCTCCCCTCCTCCACACCAAGACATGATTACAGCTTTCGGCGCAAACGCATATCAGTAACCGTCGACGACGTCTCCATCACTGCGTCTGTGTTCGGGATTCACACGTAAAAAAAAACAAAACAAAACAATAACGTAAGCAATATTTTTAAAGCCAAAATAAAGGGAGATAACCTGATGACGAGATAAGTGTCTAAGCAGACAGGAATCTGGTTGGCGCCTGACAATTCCGATCTTAACGGCAGAGGACCACAGCGTCACGTCATCTTACGGAGTTTTTTTTTTTTTTTTTTATGCTTGTTTCTTTACTGCCTGTCCAACTATTGTGTTGTTGTCTTGTTGCTATATATATATTTTAATTTTTTTATTTATTTACTTTTTGGATTCTATTTATTTTACTTTTTTGTGGGGTGGGGGTCGTTTTGGCATTAATTTTGCTTGTTTCCTTTTTCTTCGTTTCTTTTTTTTTTCTACTCTCCGTTTTCTCTACAGTATTTTCTTTTTCTCGTCTCTTTTTTTCTAATTTTCTAATCTTTTCTTCATCTGTTTTCAGTCCTGTTTGGTTTGCTCAACCACTATCTTTGTATCATATATGTTCGTCTATAAGTCGATCCCTTGCATCGTCCCTCTATAGTTTCTAGCGAAGAAAGAAATCGCTAAAAACGTACGCATTGAGCGATACCACTTTTTCAGACCATATTGAATCCGAAAGTTCTTTATATATATATATATATATATATATATATATATATATTTAACGTGTGTTTGTGTGTATATATATATATATATATATATATATATATATTAAAAAAATAGAGTTACCGCAAAATATACAACTTTTCTCTCCATTTGGAAAAGATCATTTCTCTTATATATATATATATATATATATATATATATATATATATATATATATATATATATATATAAAGAAATATATAGTCTTAAGATGTGCATATATTTATGGAATAAAATGCTCAATATCAGAATAGAATTTTCAAAATATAAAAGTTACATAAGAGTTTTAAACGATTATATATATTTTAATCTATTTATATATATATGCAATCGTCAATTTTTAAAATTAAAGTTTAAATGACGTATATATATAAATATATATTAAAACAGATAAAAATAACGTTTTATATGATGAAAAATTTTTATGTTCATATTTTATATATATATATATATATATATATATATATATATATATATATATATATATATATATATGAATTTTATTGTTTTATTTATATATGATATAATATATAGATGGTACTTTACAAAAGAAGGTCATCAAAATCATATATTCTGTTGTGTTGATGACATCGTTGAATAATATTTTATATTTTAAAAATTTATCAGACAAACAGTTTGAATATGATTGCAAACATCAAAAGAAAAATTATATATACATATATATATATATATATATATATATATATTTAACTGGCCATTTATTCGAGAATACCCGTCTACTAGGGCGCCTAATTATCTATCCCTATTATGGCTAGCTCAGGTAATTTCAAGAAAGCTCAACTTATAAAATTCACCTGTGGTTTTTAAAAAAATTCTATATATATAGGTGTTTTCATTTAGTTTTTGAAAAATTTGGTGTAAAGCCAGCACACTCGAAGCCCTCGGCCACGATGGCTTTGGAGAAAATAATTTATTGTCGACGACCCTTCAACGTTAACAAGAATCTATCAATTTCATTGAAATAATTTCCAAATGGGACCTCTCTTTTATTATTTTGATAACAAAAATACATACATACATTATATTGACCAAGAAGATATAATTGAAAAAAATCAAATGATATAAAAAAAAAAATATATAAACTTAATAAAAACATAATTTTTTCGTTAAAATTTACGTTATTCTAAAGAATAAAAATTCAAAGGATTTTTTTTATTCTTAAATTAGACTTTTTAATCGCTTTTAAAAGCTTCAAAATCTTGGTTATACTTTTTTCTTTGAGTCAGGAAGTGACCATAAATTAGTATATGAAGTTTTAGCGTCTTTTTGCGATAAAAAAAAAACATTGATTAGGAAATTCTTGTTAATATCAAATACTTGTTGGATTTTATTGAAACTTTCAAATAATTCACAAATGAATTAAATTTTCTTTAGAAAAAAAGAGAATAGAAATTCTTGGTAAAACATATTTTTTTACATCCCTATTAGTTCACTTTTCTGAAATTTCCTGTACGGCTTAATGTTTATATTTATTATAAGCAGAAGTATTTGGAAAAATTAAATCATCAATTTCTTTTCTAAAACAAAACCCTCCGTTACTGAATAGCTACTCTGAATAGTTAAATAAAAATACAATAAAACTAAGACATTATTAAATTAGAAAGGCTTTTAATTGCTTTTACGAATAAAATATATTATAGTCATTATTGTCTTAAGAAAAAGATTTTTCATTGAATAATGAATTTTTACAAGAACTGATTTCAATTTTTAAAAATTTTAATTTTAATAATAGATAAAGTTTTGAATCTTTTAAAATTCTGTATTAATTTGAGTTGGCTAGGTGATATTGTGTAAAAAATTAATTCGAAGATAAAACCTAAATATTTTTGAGGGTTTTTTTATAAAATTTAGTCAAAATCGCTAGTTTAATTTGAAAAAAAATTTGTGCTCTTTTATTCATAAAATTAAATAAGGCATAAAACAAAGAGGACATAACCTTAAGGCGAAATTTAAAAGAACAAACATTTATTACAGTATGTAAAACATTAAAACAACAAATACAAAATTTGCATAAAAGAGCTTGCAATAAAATTTGCTTTTGTGTGCCTCCTACAAAACTAAAGCAACAAATCAAATATACAAGACAAAAAAGAATACACTTTTTGAAAAAAAAAAAAAAAAAAATCTTCTAGGACGCAAAAAATTAGACGAGGCTAAAAATACAAAACGCACAGACAATGAAAGAAATTCAAAAAAATACATATTATTTAAAATCATATATCTTTCAATACATGACCGGTGAGGCAGATTTTTTTTTCTCCCTTAAAACAAACAAATATTTCTTTCTGCGGTAGACCCGTTGTCATCCATGGCTATCGAACCTTTTCTGTCCTGCTATTTATCAAATTTCTGGATGAAGAAGATAGAATATTCATACCTTTCAAAACAGTGTATTAGCACGTAAAAAAATGTAATGGATTCAACTGAATTACGAACCCGATCAATATGTTTGCAAACCATTACTCCACCGAGGGAATAACAAAAAAAAATTAATGAATTATTTCATTTTGTTCTCTGGGAACTTTTTACGATATTTGAAATGTATTTCGGTTTTCTTTCAGCTTGTTTAAATATCATTACATTGACATATAGACCTTTAACAATAATTTTTAAAATTATTAAATTCGTAAAAGATCTCTATATATTTTTTTTTATATCTTATATATTATCCTTTTCTTCCAACATTGTAATACGAAATTTTGAAACTTTTTGTTTTTTAAAATATAAAATTCATTTGTGAACGTTAAAAACTTCTCCCATCTCCCTAAATCTAAAATAAGTTTCTTTATAACGAACTGATATTTCAATGCTTTAAAAATTGACGTCTAAATATATATATCTGATCTTATCAAAAATTATAGAATTTCTTTTTGCGTGAGAAAAAATAGGCTCTCGGAGAAAAAACAATTCCAAGTTTGAAAAACCATGAGATTGGCCAGTAAATACGATAAAATAAAAGAATCTGCAACAATTCACAAAAAAAAAAATAATAATTTTAGCGGTGTTTAAACGCTAATTCTAAAAATAGTTTTTCTTTTACAAACCTTCTGGCTTTCTTTTAAAATACCCTTTTCTCAAAAAGTGCAAAAGCAACCTAAACGGTTAAAACATTTATTTATTACACCTTTAGGTAAAGATCAACTTTAATTTACAGTACTAAAAACATAAACATCTTATTACTGTCATTATGTAATGACTATATTTACTAATAATAAATGGAAAAGCTTACTACAATTTAGCAACACCCACTATTTTAAAGAGAACTTTTGATTTTTTTTTTTTTTTTGCGTGTGTGTATATACAAACATATCGATTTTCGTAAATACGGACGTCCATTCATCTTTAATCGTTAAATAAGATTTATTAAAATAGTAAATAAAAAATGTAAGTAGCAAAATTCAATATGTGTGACGTCGTCCCCTGGTCGCAGCGCCAACTGTGACGTTCTATTCTGGTCTACCACGGCACCAACTGTGACGTCCCTAAACAGCACCAACCAGTTGACGTCCCTCGCACCAATTCGTCCTCGCCGCGGCGCCAGCTGTTCGCTCCTCGCTGCTCCGTTCGGGTGTCGCTGCTCCAAACGTGACGTTCGCCTGTCGCGTCAGTCGTGTTGTCTCGTCCTGTGACGACCAACTGGCTTGGTATCGGTCGCGGCACCCAAATGTGACGTTCTAACCTTTTGGTGATTCGGGTGGGAATCTGGTTAGATTTGATATCAGCCTCGTCGTTCCCAACTCGCTTCCAACGCCTGGTTACCAAGGTAACTGCATTGATCTCCAGTCTGCCTACCCACGTTGTGAATTGATCTTAGGCAGACGAGATCAAACAGTGGTTGGGGCCGTAATGCAAACCGAGTTCAACGGGGTGATACCACACAAATATGCATAAAAGAAAATAAAATGAAAACTCAAAAGTTCAAAGTATCAAAGAAAAAGGTAACAAACTTTATGTCTAGTTGTTCGATACATGGGA